GAAAGGCTGAAGTCATTAAGCCTGTCTTTGTTCAACTTTGAGCAACATTAATAAAACTACAGACGCCCAAAGAATGTCATTTAACGGAGTATTAACCTGCATTTTGAAAATTGCGTTTGGTCAATGTATTTAAGACCAAGCTGAGACAAACCAAGACTCAACAATGAATATACGGCTACCCCTAGTGTTCAAGAAATGCTTAGCAGGCTGACATATTTAGGTGTTTACATTAGTTTAGACTTGCGCTTCAGTGCCAATCACATTCATCTTGTGAAACCAACCTCATTTACCTCAAGTTACTGTTAATGGAGACTTCATGGTTTGCTTTTTCTGGCCAAAAATATATTCAAAATATACAAACTATATGCAAATAATATTTATTTAAATACAGGTTAAACCCTCATATTTAACAAGAGGAAATTAAAATACACTTCCAATCTTAAAACACATAATAAATCCTTAGACTGAAAATATAGAAACATAAGTAATGAATCACGGTTTCCACAATAATATTAGTATACTAATAACTGTTTCCAACATTGATAATATTAAGAAATGTTTCTTGAACAGCAAATAAGCATAATCAGAACGATTTCTGAAGGATCAAGTGACACTGAAAACTGGAGTAATGGCTGCTGATAATTCAGCTTTGCTATCATGAAATAAATACGTTACATGTTTTCAACAGCTTGTACACATTTTCAAAACTTTGCCTCTTTTTTTTTCAAAACTTTACACACAAATCCAAGAATTGCACACACAGAATGCAAAATGCATCACATCACTTGCAAAATGAAGCATTGCATTCAAAATATCGCAAACACATCTCAAAAGCAAACATTTGCAAACATCTTTGCCATAATATTAATTCCTGTTCGATTTTTGTGTGTTACATAGAGAATAGCGTGTTGTGTTTTATGAAATTGAAATATGAGTCAAAGGCTGAGAATTAGTGTATGGTTTTGCAGATTTGGTTTGTGGTTCTGGTGTTTGAGTGTCAGGTTTTGTGTGTAAGCAGTTGAAAAAAACTGTAAAACAGTTATTTTAAATTTTAATAACATTTCACAGTATTACTGTTTTTGCTTGTATTTTTGATCAAATAAATGGTGAGCATAAGGGATTTAGAAACATTAATTCAAAATATACATCAAAATGAGGCAAGAAAAGATATTTCCAATGGTAAAATACATAATGGCATTTTTAAAATAAAAATAGAATGATATAACTTATCAAAAATATATTAAAATATTTCTGAAAGTATGTTTATTTTTTGCCATATGGGATGTATCTTCACATAAACCTACTTTATAAAAATAAGAAATATGCTCTCAGGAAGAGGAAGCACAGTGTTTCGCTGTGTGTGGTTGCATCCGTGTGGGCTTGAGATCATAGATGAACTCGCTTTTGCAGCTGTGTCTGATCTTTGTACATGTTAGCGGTGGCACAGTGTGTTATGTGCCCCCTTCAGCTGTCTACAACTCTCCCCTGAGCCCCAGCCACTTACCGCAGACTGGGGAGGCCAAGCTTGACTGCCTCTCCACACCCACTGAGTGCTTAACAACCAGCGGCTAAAAAACACTTGCACGTTAAATTGTAATGCTACTTCTTCAGTTCGCGCTAATAGCGCTGGTGTCATTGATTTCTTGTCGCGGCCCCTCAGCCAGGCGAAATACTAATGGTGGTGGTCAATAAAGCACATGAACTGGAAGTTCTCACTCTTCACACTTCTATCAAACTCAGGCCTAAAAATAGCCGCCACATTCTGGATCACCACCAGCTTACTTAAAGTTCACCCAAAAATGAAAATGTACTCACCCGCAGGTCGTCCAAGATGTAGATGAGTTTGTTTCTTGATCAGAACAGATTTGGAGAAGTTTAGCATTACATCACTTGCTCACCAGTGGATGCTCTGCAGTGAATGGGTGCCGTCAGAATGAGAGTCCAAACAGCTGATAAAAACATCACAATAATCCACAAGTTATCCACACAACTCCAGTCCATCAGTTAACATCTTGTGAAGAGAAGCTGTGTGTTTGTAAGAAACAAATCCATCATAAAGGCATTTTAAATTTAAACTGGTGCTTCTGGACAAAATACGAGTCCATAATCCATAACAATGCTTCCTCCAGTGAAAAAGACCATCCTCCTGCGTCAGCAGCAGCACACACATCAAAGACTGACATGGAAGAGAAGAAATGGTTGAATAAAGTTGTTATTTTTGTTTTCTTTGCACACAAAAAGTATTCTCATAGCTTCATAACATTATGGTTGAACCACTGATTTTATTAAATTAATGACAGAATGTTCATTTTTGGGTGAACTATCCCTTGAACTATCCCCACCAACATATTTATTTAGAATTGTTATAGACGGTTTTCACTTGTAAATGGTGCTTGATATGTACATATTTGATTCAGACGAGACAATGTTTTACTGGAGAAAGCAATATTACAGGTAGAGGACTCCGTCAGCAACAGTTTTATGTTAAAAACATCTTCATGATTTGATTCTTACAGACACAGCTTTTTTTCGCTTCACAAGACAATCACTGATACTTGTGAATTACTGTCATGTTATTATCAAAGAAATGGTCTGTCGCTACTTCTGTTACATTTTTTAAGTTAATTGATTGTAAACATAAATGCAAGTTTAAATTTAAAGTCAGCATGAAATGTTCAAAGACCATTTTACTTTCATAAGAAAAACAAATTGGGCTGTACTTGATTTTATACATCAATAATTGATTGTATAAAAAAAAAAAAGAAGAGCATTACATACCAACTGGGAGCCAGGTAACAAAAAAAACAAAACAATATATAACAAAAATGCAACCCCCCCACAAAAACAAATACACACAATTACAAAACATTCATCTTGAGATACAGAATTTTTTTTACTGTCACAAATCATCCTGAAAGGCCCCTTTTGAGTGAAGTATTGATCCGTTATATAAAAGTTCAATGCCACTTCCTGCCATGAGGATGAAGTGTAGATATTGCTCCATCACTTGTAGTTATGAAATTGCTTTGTCTCAAAACAGAGTTCCTAAAAACATTGATACTGTCAGTTTACAAAACCCATTGTGTTTCTCGTTCTTTTCACAAATTCTACATTCACACCAGAGTAGCGATGTGACAGCTATTTTAGAGAACAGCAAAAATACTAATTTCTGCTAATTAAGCAACTGTTTGGGACTTTGCATGAATGGTACATGAAATATGCATGGAAATGGGTACATATTTTGCAGTTATTCAGGCCTAACTAAACAAATTCCTAGTATGTCCTGCAAGGATATTGTAAGTAGTGAAATTTTAAGTGATGTTCTTGTTGCGTTTTGTCAATGATGTGAGATCTAAGCAGGCCTTCTATAACAACTCTAAACAACAGATTCATTTAAAGATGCTGCTATTCTGACTGATAAAAAAAGCAAGCTCATCAAAGGCCATTCTTCTATGTTTTATAAATAAAAAAAAGTACAAAACTAAATCAAAAGTCTCATGGTTACGTCTGTTTGCTTATAGTTTATAAAATATGGTTACATTCACACAGTTTTTGGGGACTGACAACTGTATGACTAACGAGTGTTTCAAGTTGTGTTGTATATCTAATTGCAGACAAAAGCTGTCTTCATGGACAGGTAGCTAAGGTCAATTCCCACATGTATTCTCAGAACAGTCTTGAATAACACAGTAACCATAGTGACAGATAATGTCTGCATATGAGATTAATTCTTTAATGGCTTTCCTTACAAAAATGTACTAGTACTTTTTTCTCTATGGATGTGTATATTATTGCCAGACTGGCTCTGTACTATACAGCGGCCAATCACAACGCACTGCATAGCTGGCCAATCAGGGCACACCTCGCAAAGGCGTAGCATGGAGGAGAAACAATAATGTACAGTATGTGGAAAATAATGTTTTTTTAACCTTAAACCGCATAAACACATTTCATTACATCAAATACACCAAATAATGTTCTTTTTAGCAACATCATATGACCCCTTTAACATATTTGAGGTTACAAACAACATCATGCAACTAGGCCTACACTTTAAAAAAGGTTAGATATGAAAAAGGTAAATATTCTGCAGCTAAACCTGCCAATTAGTTAACTGTAAGTTACCATAGCAGATAGGCTACAGTGAAAAATTTTATTACATTTAACTGAAAAATTATGTTTAATGGAACTAAAAAGTATGAATTATAATTTACCATGAAAACATTAATTTTATTTGAAAAAGCAAGTTAAAATGCCTCTTAAAATACTGTAAAAACCAGTAAGAAATACCCGGGGCATGTGATTTTATTATATTTACTCATGTTGGTTCTTATTTTTAAAGCTATGTACATGTTTGATGTTAAATATTATGTTTATTGCATTATTTTTTGTCTGCACATTTATTCATTTATTAGTCATCGTTTATGACTTTAAGGGTCTTGCACATTTAGATGCCATTGGTGATAAAAATTAAATAATATATGCCCTCACTTTACTAACAGATTGTCAATCCACTTGATGTCCGCAAAAACAGCTAGTGCTTTATTATAGTAAATCCCTAATACATCTTCGTTAGTTGCGGATGTGTTTCAAAACCTAATTGTTATATTAATTTACCCGGATGTAGCGTTCCAAACAGAATTTAGCGTTGTATCGCGCAGCTGTGTGAACTTGAACGTCCTTTTTGTCCAAAAAACGCTTGTATTCAACTCCGAGTTCAGAAACTTAAACGGACCATAAACGTCTAATCCTTTTGTTGTCCTGTTTTTTGTTCAGAACTAAAGTACTCTGAGGAAAACTGAAGTGTTTTCGGCAATCCACGCCGACGGTCGGTAGGCCTGATAGCCCGCGTTGGCCACTGGGTGTCGCTCTGGAGCAAGAAATGCCGCGGCGTCTCCCCCACCCCTAAACATCTCTTCCGAATGTGTGCGTATGTGTAGCGCCGAGAAAGCAAATCTGTGTTTCCAGCTGACTGCTCGCTCTCTCTCACTGTGTGTGTGTGTGTGTGTGTGTGTGTGTGTGTGTGTTGTCATTATTATTATCCAGTCTGCTCCCAGCTCAGAATGGCCAGATTCACTCAGACTGAGACAAGAAGGGAGCAGCACCCACAGCCGCCCCATCCCGTTTACTCCAGTCTGCTTTTCACTGGACCCGTGGCAGCACCGACCCAACATCCACTCCTCCTAATCCCGCACCAGCACCAGTACGCTCAGATCCCATTTCCTAAACCCATGAACGGGTCAGAATCCATCTCCATTCATCCGGAGAACGGCACCATGAAAGACCAAGATGCCATAAAACTCTTTATCGGGCAAATACCGCGGAACCTTGAAGAAAAAGACCTGAAACCATTGTTCGAACAGTTTGGGAAAATCCACGAATTGACAGTATTAAAGGACCGATACACCGGCATGCACAAAGGTAAACGCGTGATTCCCTTAATAAGAGTCTGTGATTTTGCAGCGGTAAACACTAGGCTACAATAAAAAATAAAATAAAAAAATGTCTCGTGCACATTATCCGTTGGTGACGCATGCGTTATTGTAATATTTATTATAAATCATACTTGTCATTTTTGTCATGTCAACATTAAATACATATAGGCTACATACAGTCTGATGAAACTGTAATATCAGGCCCCTTTAGCCACTATTTTGCACTTCAATCGTTTAGAGAGAACTTATCTTCTCTGTTTGAACCTTTGCATTGTTGCTTGTATGAATATTATGTATTCCATCATATAATATGGCTGGGAATCTTACCTTTCTATATGGCAGTTTAATTTTTGAACTGGGGCAAAGAGGCTTAGAAGAAAATCCAGATTTAAAGAGACTTTCTTTTGCCTCTTCCATCTTTTACAATGGGGAAATACTCCCACCATCCCAGAGCATCAGCTTGTTCAATCTGGCATATGCAGTTCTCGCAAATGAACAGGCGTTTTGAATATGATTAGCCTATATGTATATACCAAGAGAAATGTTCGATGTTGTTCAACGTCTTACAAAAACAGAGCTGTTATATGCTCCAAACAGGTGCGCCAGGGTAATGAAACACGCACAAATAATAATAGAATAGAAAAACGCGCAGCTTTACTTATCTGATCATATTTGCACTTAAACACGTTCGGGTGTGCGTCGTAACGAACTACGGCGCGTTCTACATTGTGGCGTGACGTTCTACTTGACAGCTGACATTGAATACGTCATCCCTCTCAAACAAGAAGACAATACTAAAATTAAACCTCTATTTTGGTATAATCTCGTTCTTGTCATTTATTCCCCTCAAGTGATATGTGTCAGAAACAGAATATTCGCATTTGTCTTCGTTAGTGTCAGTTACTATTAGGCTTCATATCAGTGGTGTGTTTATAATTATGCTAATAAGGCTCTATTTGATATTTACCCCGTGAGAAGCCTTGCTTCATATGGGGTTTAACTGTGTTGAACGTGTCAGAATAGCTATATACAATGATTTCGTGGGCGAGAGTCGTGCGTTTTCATTTGGCTAAATGAAACCAAACCAAACAGTTGGAGAAAACGACGTGAAATGTTAATTTTGTTCTTAATTTTAGGATTCTATGACAAATGATTAAGCTCTAGAGAGGATATGCATGACAAAATGTGCCGTTTCAGATGAAACTTAAGAAAGTTAGCCTACTTGCCACAAGTCGACCGTTATGAAAGCGCGCCAATTCTGATGAGAAATGGCACTCACGCGTCTATCCCTCTTTGATCAAATGGCATCAGTGGTGACATGTAAGTTGTTATATTATTTGATGTATTAACTTGTGCAGCAAATAATACAAGATAGAAACACCAGGGAGGATCCAATCTGAGTTGACTGTTCCTCAATGATGACGGTCCTCTTGGACATTGATGGATGTCAAGCCTATGTGGATACACCTTATCTAGTGCATTACTGTGAGCTGAATACACTCTTAAAAATAAAGGTGCTTCACGATGCCATAGAAGAACCTTTTTGTTTAAATGGTTCCATAAAGAACCTTTAACATCTGAAGAACCTTTCTGTTTCACAAAAGGTTCTTTGTGGTGAAAGAAGGTTCTTCAGATTATAAAAAGTTAAGAAAGAAATGGTTCTTTAAAGAACCTTTGACTGAATGGTTCTTTTTGGAACCAAAAATGGTTATTCTATGGCAACGCTGTGAAGAACCTTTTGAAGCACCTTTATTTTTAAGAGTGTAGTCCCATCAATTAGACGTCTAAAATATAGAGCTTTTCAGTTTGTAGTGCTAAACCCAGAAGAGAATTAGCATTTTCAAGCCATTGGGTTCCCTTAGGAATTTCCAATGGGGTTTTAAAATCGTGATTTTCCATTTATAAGTAAAATAAGGTCTGTGGTTAATAATACTTCAGACATTTTGTTATGCATAAATTATGCACAATTGTACCTCCGATGTGGCTTTTGAAACCACTGTTTTCTCAAAATGTAATTTGGTAATAAACAAGGATGTGAGTTTAAAAAAAAAAAAAATATATATATTTTTAAACCCATAGGTTAGTCCTGAAGACTTACAAATTGACATCATTACCGAATAATTGATTTGTGTGAGTTTTTTGTGTTTATTATGGCTGGTTCCGTACATATTAGTTGGACGTCCTGTCAATGCCAGATTACAACATCATAGGTCCAATTTTTTTCATCCTAAACTACCTGATGATATTTGGGATGCAGCTGCCTCTGGGACAGGAACTGAATATGAGTTCTAAAGGATTGCACAGAGAATTTGTTCTTCAGGATGGAATTTCTTTTCAACTTATGTGTTATTCTATGAGGGGATGTGAAGATAAGAACAAGTCAGCAAATATTTACATAAACTATTTGTCAGCTTATTGTGCAGTCTTGCGAGTAGTCTCAATATGGACTGCATTGGTGATGTAGACCCCAAGGTTGTTTAAATGTTTGGCTAAAATGTCGGTGAGGATGCTAATGTCATTTTTTTTTTATCCTAAACGTGACAAAGGAGCACAACAGATGAATGGTTTGTGTTAATGCCAGTACTCATTAGGAAAAACCTACTGTTTGTACATACGCAATACACAAGATTTCACTGAAGATAAGTGCAAAACAAGATATCTGTGCATCTGTTTCTTCATTAAGTTCTGTTTTAAAGGGTTCACCGGACTAAAGGGATCATATGTAGGTTTCAGAGTGGGGAACATGTTTCAGCGCTAAATCAGCTTGCTAATCCACACAGGAAAACACAGCATTAGTTTGCTAAGCGCGGTAATAAACCATGACCATAATGACGGAGCAGGATTAGCAACTGTAGTTATTGTCTGAGGTTGCGGTCGTTCGGATCACTTGGTTTGTCCCTCTACAGTGGCTGCTTCTTTGCAATTAAAGCATGCTGTAGTCATCTTAGCCTGCAGTGTTCAGTATGAACAGCTATTATGAGGTCTGCTCAACGGGCCTAACAAATGCTGTCTCTTGATTTGTATTAACAGGTGAGCTTTTCCCCTTCAGGCTTTTCACCTGTGATCCGTTGAGCTCAGCATTTTATTAAAGTTTTTTTTATTTAGTATGGAGTTGGAAATGGGGTTTTCACTCACAGATTTGCCTGCAAAGCTTGAGACACTTGCTATGCTGTATTTGTAATCGTACGTGAGCGTGGTATATAGATCTCTTGCTGCGTTTAGCATAAAAAGACTATTGTTGCTTTGCTTTGAAAGCCTCTTACGCACATTTTGCACTCTGCAGGTGAAGATGTCCAAGGATAAGCTTGCACAAGCTTACAATACAAAAGGCATGGAGAATATTTGAACACTATACACAAACATACACAAGGTTCTTTAGACCTAAACCTGATGCTGTCTGATTGTCTGTGCTTAATGCGGCTCCATTCACATCTGCCACTATAGAGTGTCAATCCTTAACTGCTTTCAAGGGACCTATTGTGCTAATGCATTTATGAGGGATTGACAGATAAGATAGACATTTTAGAAATAATCATATGAAGCATTAAACAATTTTAATTTATGTCTTTTCCCATGCGAATGGATTTAACAGCAGGGGTCCTTGCAAAAGCTGAAAGCCAAGCTGTAGAAAGGTTCAGTGCTTATAAATGTAAAGCTAACCTTGTTGGACAGTGATTTGAAAGGAGTTTTATGCTGTTTCCACTTTCCAGTATTAAAAAGAGTTAAGCTAGTAGTGAGATTGTTTCAAGGCCTTGCAGAAAAATTACATCACAAATCCCTTATTAATAGAAAGATGAAACATATTTTGTATGGTTTACCAGGAACCAATGTTGGGTTCATAGTAGTATTTTCATATCTGAAAATTCATTTGGATAAGTACACTTCCTAACAGAGATTTTTTTAGTATATTTTATTTTCTTGTTTTCTAGTAAAACCCCATTAAATCGAAATTGGAGTGTTGTTTTTTAGTAGCGTAAATGTCGTAGTTTTGAGACTTTGCAAAAGTTTCAATGATATAAACACATTTACAATTCACAGTTTTTCCTTTAAGTTGAACAAAAATATTGTCCACATGTTTACAATTTTTTTGTCCAAAGTAGTAAATTGTAGTTTCTAGCTAAAAGCTATGAGCCTTTTGATGATAATGTTTCATCCCAACTTCCCAAGTTTAAATAGGAAACATGTCAACCAATGAATAAAAACTACAACTGAGTGATTTTCATTAGGTTTTAAATTAGAGGAGGCCATTGGCTGAAATGTCAAATGGCTTCTTTAAAAGTCTGACAGTCCAAAGACGCAAACATCTGTAAATAATATAATACGCAACAAGGCCGATTCATAAAAAATGCAGTGCTTCAGCAGCTCTCCTGGCAGGAACCGTAGCTCTGAATGTCAGGATGAGATGTTCCCTCCTCTATCAGCAAGCTCTGCTTTGAGCTACTTGTCTTTTCATGTGAACTGGCCACTTATCTCCCCTTTACCTGCTTTTAGATGGACTTTCCTCCATGTGGAGAAGGTTATTTTTCTTTTTAGGTGGAAAATTTTTTTTTTTTTTAAGGCCATTACCATTCATCAAATGGCGGCATTTACAGTAGAGTATTCTAGACAACCCTCTGTGGAAAGAGGTTCAGTGACCTTCCGTAACATGTCCGTTTTGTGGACCAAGCATAAAACACAAAGCAAAATTATTGATGCGCTATTCTAAGATGTTGTGAATCTCTCCCTTATGACCATTTTTATGGCGGATAATAAGCTGGTCTTCAAATGTGTCATAATGTCTGTTGTGTTTGCTAATAGAAAAGTCCACCCGATTCCCTCTGTTTTGTGCTGCTTAACAAGATTGCTCTGTAATTCAAAAACATTACTCACTGCTGTAGGATTCGATGAAATTAATTTTTTAAACACAGTATTTTTAAATTAAACTTAATTGATCAACGATATAATAAATTTTACTGTTCAGTTTAAACTTTTTTTTGGTTGTGAAAA